GAACAGCCAATTCTTGGCTTAAAGTTACGTGGCCCCGGCATCGGTAGTGTTCCCGATGTTGAAATTGACTTGAATAACTCGAACTGGACAATCTTTCGGGCCGTGCAAGAATTACTGCAGCAGAGTCAATTAAACAAAATTGATAAATTTCGAAAAGTATGGGAACCAACATACACAATAATATATAGAGAGATATTACCCGAGGGCCAAAAGAACTCCTATTTGGGATCCGATGAATTACTTCAAACGCCTGATATGTCATCCAAAAGTGGCGCTTCAACGTTGTCTCCAAACTCTCCAATGCATATCGGATTTAATAAGCCAGAGAATAATTTGTGCTCTGTTGATGATGTTCTCGAGTTGCTGATACGAATCAACTCTCTTAATCAAAGTGAATTTGATTTGGAAGGGAAGGAGCGGAGTGCTCCCATACTGGCAGACGAACTTTTTGTTAGCAAAAAAATTACTAATAAATTACAGCAGCAAATTCAAGACCCACTTGTTCTTTCATGCAACGCATTACCCAATTGGTGTGAGAATTTAAATCAGTCTTGTCCGTTCTTGTTTCCATTCGAGACAAGACAATTGTATTTGAACTGCACTTCGTTCGGAGCATCTCGAAGTATTGTTTGTCTGCAATCTCAACGAGATCTCACAGCAGAAAGGCAAAGGATACCCATACTCAGTCCACGTCGTGATGAACACGAGTTTCGCATTGGTCGTCTCAAACATGAACGTGTTAAAGTGCCGCGTAATGAAGATTTGCTTAAATGGGCAATGCAGGTGATGAAAACGCACTGCAATCGTAAGTCTGTGTTGGAGGTGGAATTTTTGGATGAAGAGGGAACTGGCCTTGGACCAACTTTGGAGTTCTATGCGTTAGTGGCAGCAGAAATTCAACGATCTGATTTATGTATGTGGCTGTGCGACGATGAATTGGGAGAAGAAAACACCCAGGATATATCCGAAGTAATTGAAGGCAATTTGAAACCAGTTGGATATTACATAAATCGAAGGGAACATGGATTGTTTCCAGCTCCGCTACCACAGAATTCTGAACAATGTGAAAGTGTTTTAAAATATTTTTGGTTTTTCGGAGTTCTAATTGCAAAAGTTTTGCAGGACATGCGTCTGGTAGATATACCATTGTCGACATCATTTCTAAAATTGCTTTGTCATAAGAAAATGTCATTGCGTAGCTTACAAAAAATTATATCAGAGAGAAGACCTGGAGATATATCTTTGCTATCGTGTACTGACTTCTTATGCACTGACTATAATAATTCTAGTTTATTTGGTGGAATTCTAAACCTGGAGAATTTAAAAGAAATCGATCCGACACGCTATCAATTTTTACTCGAGCTGCAAGACTTGTTGTCGCGTAAGCAAGCAATTGAATTTGACAGCGGTATAAGCTTGGAAAGAAAACAAGAGCTAATAAATGACCTTAAGCTATGCACCAAAAATGGATTAGAAGTGTCTCTGGAAGATCTATCACTAACATTCACATATTTACCAAGTTCTTCAATTTATGGATACACGCAAGCCGAGCTGTTGCCAAATGGAGCATCGATAAATGTCACTAATAACAATCTGGAGGCATATTGCGAGCTGCTTCTTAACTTTATTTTGCAGGATGGAATTGCGAAGCAGATGAAATCTTTCAGTGATGGATTTAATGAAGTTTTTCCATTAAAAAAACTGACTGCTTTCTCCGCGGCTGAGGCTCGATTAATGATTTGTGGCGAGCAATATCCACATTGGAATCGAGAGGATATTATTGCATATACTGAACCAAAACTAGGCTACTCCAAAGATAGGTAAAATCAACTATCAAATATTAATCAAATATCAAATATTAATATTTTTTGTTCTTTAGCCCTGGGTTCCTTCGTTTTGTAAACGTTCTACTAGGCATGACAGGCAATGAACGTAAAGCTTTTCTACAGTTTACAACTGGTTGCAGTAGTTTGCCTCCGGGAGGACTTTCAAATCTACATCCTCGACTTACAGTCGTCCGAAAAGTGGATGCAGGTGTTGGGAGCTACCCCTCTGTAAATACTTGTGTTCATTATTTAAAGCTTCCAGACTACCCAACCGAACAAATAATGAAGGAGCGTCTGTTAACGGCCACAAAAGAAAAGGGGTTTCATTTAAACTAAACATTAAAGCTTTCTACATAATTGGAAATATCTTAATCGATAGTGTAATTCTATAATATTGCATAATCTTTAAAAAATGTATATTAAATATTAATTATGAATAATTTAATGAAATTAAATGTAATACAGTTAGAGTTCATTACATTAAAGCATTATTAAATATTGCGAATTCCGCCAGCCTCTACGTTGAAACTGGGCTGGCAAGAGCCACACATGCAATGATTGACCCATACGACATTAAATCGAAGCAAGTTACGCACGGCAGATGTAAATGACAGATGCATAAAAATACTTTTAAAGATTTATAACATAAATCATAAATCATAGGATGTATATAGAAATGTATACACTGTCTGAGTACCGGGTATAAAAGTTGTGACGTACGACGGCGCGTCTTACAACGTTTCTCCTCGTGTTTTGCGTTTGTTATTTTACGCCCTCTAACGCTTTTCTTTGCTATCCACCCCCCAGAGGCCTATAAAGTATGTATTTTAAAATTGACCAGAAAACTCATGTTTAAGCAGGTTGAAAGGAACTGCATTACCGGCGCACTGATTCACCCAAGAACTTCTCGATACGATACATAAGTGAAATCTGTTTCAGAGATGTAGGCAAGAAATATTATTTTGCCTTGGCAATATAGATTTCGGAACCAACTGAGAAACCCTACTGTCACCTAGAACTTAAACTCAGATGGAATTCGGTTTGATTGGATTTCTGTGCCACCCCGATGGATTTTCGTCAGAAAGATAAAATATCTCGAAAAGCTCAGGTGCTCCATGAAAGTTCTCTCTAATTTGTAAAAGATTAAAAGATAACAAGATAACAACTGCGAAGGTTTATTTTTCTCCAACCATAATCGCTTAAACCGTGAATATATTTTGAAAAGGAAATGATACTTTTTGCTTTTATTATTCCTACATGTTTGTTACCGATCGTTATTAATGGATATCTTAGGCCTTCCTACCAAGTGCAATTAAATAGCAAAACTAATTCAGGATATTTAATTGAAAATATATGTTATGGTAATATTCTGCAAAGTCATATTGTCTTAACAGCAGCATCTTGTTTGTTGACTGTTTCTGAAGTTCCTTATGAGACAAAACTCATTGAAATTGATAAACTATCAGTCTCTATTAAAAGTGAAGATACGAATGATTTTTCAGTTTTTGTTAGTAGCATTCATATTTATGATAAATTTAATTATTTGACAATGGATCATGACCTTGCTCTGATAAATCTAAGTTCACCACTTCCATTGTCTCTGCGTGATGACGTCAAATGGATTTTATTGCCGCAAGCTGTAGTATATACGGACTTTGTCTTGAGGGAGGACACTAATGTGAGTATGAATATTTAACAAAATATAAATTACTGGCAAGCCCCCGGAGGACGATGCCAACAGTTATGTACATAGTACGTAGTACACAGTACTACGCTACGAGCCAGATTTTGAACATTACGCCCACGTAATTGTCCAAATCTCACTTTCTTATGGGAATGTGAAGATACAAAAAAGTTTCAGGTGTGAATGTGTGTAGGTACACATGAAGACGACTTGCCAGCAGACATGTAAAACAAAAATAAATTAGCTTATAAAGGATACACAAAATAAAGTTATCTGATATTGTGGGACAAGCTTCTTCAAAAAATATTAATTCTAATGTCTATTTATTTATTAATTGTTTGGCACATAGATCTGGTATCCTTACACCGAACAAAAATTAAGAGGATATGGTGTACTATCTGGAAAGGATTTAGTGGCAATTGTAACACTGGCTCCCCGCATGGATAAACTGCGTGATGAAAATGACAAAAATATTTTTGTTGGATATCAAAATCAAATAACCTTCCTTTTTCCATATTTGAGTTGGATTTTCGAAATCTTAGAAGACGCTGAGATCAAAGATATCAAATCGAATTTTTCAACTGGTTCCCTACCGTATACCGAGAGGGAAACTGACAAAATGGGTAATGTTATGAACAAATTATGAGTAATTATTGAGTAATTATGAGTTAATTTGCAAAGAAAATGTATGGTAAATGTCTATAGCTGTAAATGTAAATTTAATCAATCCTCTATAACATTACCCGACACCATTTTTTCACTTCGAACCAGATTTGAGGCTTTCTTTTATGTTCATGGCAGTGATGTTAAGTTTTGTTAAAAGTTTTAAAGTGGTGACCCTGCTTTAACTGCGTCTCACAACGTTCCTCCTCTTTTTGTGGTTAGTTTTTTCCCACATAACTTGAGTAAAAGAGCTTTGTATTTTTGCAAAATGATTTATTGAATTTGTATCTAAACACAGACGTATTAATTTATTTATAATATATGTTTTTGTTTGACTATTTATTTTTATTGATCAAATGTTTATTTTAACAATACACTTCTAATTTCATTTCGTTTCAGTACGTGAATATGAAAAGTCTGTTTCGCTGATAAGTGCAGCACATCCCTATAAAGGGAACGGAACTGTGATATTTATATTTATATTAGCTGTAATTACAGTTAGATGTTTTTAATATAGTTCTGATTAAATAACTCCATGTACATGATAAATTAAATTTAACCTAATATGAAGATATAACCTTCTTAGGTGTTTCATGGTGCTACAGAATTCGCTTTCAATTGAATTTCGTCTCAATTCCATTCAGAGGTCCCCAGGATTCCGTTCGCAATCAGCGGAAAACTGTTAATTGTATTGAAACAAATTCACAGCAGTTTGAGAAAAAATCATAAAACCCAGTTTTCGCATTCTAGCACTAATCTTAGTTCTGCCACAGATATCCGAAAGATAAAAACCATCGCAATTCTAAACCATCTATCGATAGTGTGCTATCGAATTATTTGCAACCCTGCTGGGCATACTCTATACATAGCATATTTTTATTAAACAAAAATAAACAATAAAAGGTATATAAAGCTACTCTATTTCCAAAACCGGACACGGAAAACCCGAAATACATCGTTTCTAGTAATCAAATATACTTTTGTAGAATGACTACCGAGGAATTACCAGCGAATCTTGATAAGTTGAAAATAACACCAACATACCCTGTTGTCAAATCAGTAAAAAGGAATCCATTCTACAATCTAGAAGATGATTTTAAAACATCACATACGACTAACTGTGAGCCAATACTTAGCGTCAAACACAAAATGATACATCGCTGGAAGTGCAGACCAAGGCGTCGATCGGAGAGCTGCCTTGAGAATTGCACGCAAGAAAAGTCTTCAGTCGAAACGGGATCTTTTGATTTGACAAGTCCACCAAGTTACTCGCATGGAGTCACCAAGCCTGCACAAAGAAAAAATGTTGCACCTACAAAGAAATATCTCTTTCGGCAGCCTATATTGAAAACTTTATTTGGTTGTGAACAGGGAAGGAGTCTTGTTCGAAGTCATAACATGTTTTTAGTTAACTCAGAGAAGAAAACAACCAGCCAAATTCAGCCTAAAAACTCAAACTTCAACATAAGCGACCCATGCAGTTTCCGCGATCTGATCAATGAATGCGATATATTGTTAAGCCAAACAAAGAAATCTCATTCGGGTAATATTCGACATGAATCGAACAACTGCAGTAAATATAAAACAACTTCCAGAAAAAAAGAAATCAATTGTAAACTGTCTATTAAGGAACGCAACGCCTCTACATTATCTGCATCTAAGAGATCATTATCAGTTTCAGTAATGGGAACGACATGTTCTCAGCAAGCTTGTTATAACACGACAACCACGAGCAACTGTGACGATGTAACGATATCAGAACTGGCTAGCTATTTTGATACCATGGTCCATATTCCAAAAAAGATGTCTTCAATGGCTGAAATGATGTATATTTAGTTTTATATCAACTAATAAGTTGTATGTGTCTGTAGACATACTCTAGTAAGCATACATATGGACATGTGTAAAAATTTGTATACTAATAAAATAAAATTATTTCTCGGTTGTTTAAAGCTAAATTTCACTCTTTCTTGGAGTCTGATGCCTTGCATTAACCGTTTAGGGTTAAATTGTTTGGTAATTTTGCATGTCCACCTCTTTTAGTTGTGTTTAAAAAAAAAGTAATTGACTTTAAATATCGTGTGCATTTTTATTATTCAAATTTATTTCATCAACAACCCAGAATTATTGATAGTAAAACAATTATTTAGAGCTTTTCCAAACGCTTCGGTCCATATAGCAAGACATAGGCACAATGCCAATCCCCACCACCTGAAAGTCGTAATATTTCCTCCGTGGACACAGATGTTACATCGTCATCATCAAATTTAAACCAAATATCGTTGCTGGAGCGAACCCAAGCAACATAATGTCCAGATGAACTTGATCGACCTTTATGTGTCAGTACAGCTTGTAATGTATAGTAACCAGAATTATTACTTCCCAAATCATCGTCAAACCAAAATTGTTCATATTTTTTTTCTGCCTCGTCATCCTTGACACTATGTGGTTTTGATACTTCCAGTTCCATGCTTTTGTCTTCCAGCTCCTTGAACTTGGAACGCATTGGACATAATTTGTTTTGCAATTCGGGTGTACACAGCTCAAATGCGTCAAAGTCGATGGGAAATTTGATATCCTTCAATACTTTGGCATTAATGCCTTCCTTTCCCTTATATTGGAATCGTACGAATTGGACAGTAAGATAAGCTGGAAGTCGGCTAACTAAATACTGGAAAGAAAATAAAACTTTAAGAAATTGATGGTTAGTCATTGGAGGGTCTTACAGTTCTAATGTAGCGTGCGTCTCGTCCCAAAGTTTCAGATTTCTTGACTAATGGTTCCATCATTTTCTAAAACAAGAATAAAGAAGCCGTAAATATAATATTAATATGATTTCGTGCTGTTAGCTACCGATTTAAGTCCGCTCTGCATATACTTCACTTCCATTGAAATGAAGCAACTTAATTGCAAGAAATTTTCAGTTGTTATAGTAGCAGATTCATCTGGAACTTCTTCCGAGCTCATTTTAACTTCAAAGGTTCCACCAAAAAATTGTTCAATAAAAGAGCTTAAAGTCAAGAGTAAAAGTATATTAATTATAAGTTAAAGAAGTATAAGTAAAGAAGTAACAAATTAAAATGTATCTAAAATTACCGATTTTATTTTATTCTATACACTTACCCATGTTTTGTTTTCTGAGCATTATTTGTAGACGGTTCTTGGCGAATTGGTAAAAGGTTTTGCTGTAACATTTTAAGGATTTCCGACCAACACTCATTGGCATCTTGCTGCCTGAATGTGCCATTTTCACCCGTCTGGGCAAATTGAGGAGATGCTCGATGCAATGCTTGCAACAGTACAATTGGAGTGACAGTTGCACCCTTATCCATTTGAGCAAAAACAGATTTCATTCCTGATGAAATGGAGAAAGCTGCTGATAGAGTGTCAGACCCGTCACTAGTAAAGTTGTTTAGCGCAGTACGAAGCTCGGGAACTGCCTTCAAGCATTGAATAGTGGCATTCATATAGCACGTATTTCCAAGGTTTGTTAAACCGGCTGGTAGGCGCATCTAAAATATTCTTTTAAAGACTATGCTGTAAAGATTTATATTATTAAATATACGCACTGCTGTCGCGGTTTCGGCTTCATTCATGTCTTCAATAAACTTAATTGGTGTTGTGGGAACTTCTGGTACATTTTCTCTGCTTCCCATTAACAAAACTACAGCGCCCTGTAAAATTAATACTGTATATTGAAAGTTCATACTTGAACTATTAACTTACGTCTTTTAACTGCAAGTTCCATTGATCATCCTTCAGGATGCCACCTTTGCACATCACTTTTTGACGCTCCGGCTCAACACCAGTTAGAGCGAACAGTTGAGCTTTGAACAATATAGGCTCTTCATCGGTGTTAACATCGATGTCCGTAAAGAGTTCGCGTCCCCATTTCACTTTTACTGAAAATAAACGAAGTAAGGTTTCCGTCAGAAAAAATAATATAAATAATAAATACCTTTAAAACTTGGCATTGTAAACTACTTCAAGCTAAAATTCAAAGTCATACTAATCAGACAAGGGATGAGTGAAAAACGATATATCAAAAAAAGGAAATGGGAAAGTAAACAAAATATATCGTCAGCGCGGGAACATTGATAATGGTATGTAGTATTAAGCTAGTATGCACCACGACACTAAATTACACACAGCTGCGCTACATTTTCTGTTTTACGGTTACACTCTTTAAGAATTTTCTGGAGAACAGAGATTTGGACAACTGAATTAAACTTTGATGACCAAGTATGACAGTAAAATCTTGCCAGCAAATATGTACGAAATTTTTCTAACATTTTGTACATACGAACATTTATACATGCATGCATGCATATGCCTTAAAGACCCCTGCTGTTTCGCAAGCTGATATTTAGTAAAGAATATGTGTAAAAGCATATTGTATCTTTGTAACCCTAAATAAATAAAAAATAAAGAAGCACTTGGCATGCCCAATAGGCATAGTCGCAATTGCGGTGGTCGATTGCAATCTTTCCTCATATGCCATTAGTTATTTAACTATCTAATTTATTGGTTTCAAACCTACCAGATGCACTGGAGATGCAGTTATATAACAAATCTCTGATCTAGTGCATTCTAACATCAAAACAACCTTTACCATTTATCATTACCTGTCAACATTTTCATTTTATGCTGGTTCGGTACTCGTAATACCATCGGAATATTAAACAGATTATAACAGATTTATTTTTTAATAACTATTTCGAAACATCTTTTAATATACTTACATATGTATAAGTTTTCCAATCCTCTTTTCAATTTCTATTTTATTAGCATTTTGTGGGAAAAGCATATGCGTCGAATGCCCTTAACATGACTTTTTATTTCTTGGCTCACAAAGTTTGGTCACACTAATTGTAATATTATCAAATAAAACTATACATAAATAAACATATGACTAATTTATAAAATGAAGACGGTTTGTTTAAATTGTTATATTAGTTTACATATTACTTAATACATCATATATTTCTATTTAATTTCAGTCATCACCAATACTAAAATACTTGTTGAAGAAAGATGTGCAGTGGTCGAACCATTACGTGTCTATTCTATCTAAATATACGTTCTTTAAATCTTTAAAGATAAACTGTAAATTTCTAGAAATATCATGTGATGGTATTGCCTGGTTAGTTTCTTGGGTGGCTTTCATTTGGCTACTCAATTCAAAATCAATGCTTCAAATGCAAGTAAATATGCTTGTGGGACTTATCCTAGATATTGTCGTCGTAGCCGTGTTAAAGTCAATTGTGCGCCGACAAAGACCGGTAGCAATCAAAGATACTTTGGTAATAGGACCCGATAAATTTAGTTTTCCCTCAGGCCACGCATCGAGAGCATTTTACGTACTTATATTTTTTACAAAATTGTATTCTCTGCATCCGTTTTTTTATTTACCCCTTACGGCTTGGGCTGTATGCGTCTCTGTGTCAAGACTAATTTTACAACGACATTACATGCTTGACATTTTCGCTGGAGCAGTTATTGGAGTTCTTGAAGCAAGATTTCTCGAATTCATTTGGGTCAGTGAAACATTTGCTGGAAACATTGCTAGTTTTGTGGGTAGTTCAGATGAATTAGAATAAAATATGTTGGAAATAAATATAATAAAATCAATTTATATACGATAATCTTAAATATAAAAAATATACACAGTGTATGTTGGATGTACTTATTAATAGCTTAGAGTTAACAAAGGAGGTTATTCTTAGTTTAAGTCAAAGACCTAGCTTTATCTACGGCAAGACATTGCACACAAGCCCTCAGAGTTTTACGACCAACCTACACAGTCGGTAGAAATTGTGACTCAAAATACATTGGATGGACAATCAAAGCTCTCGAATTGCACCTCCAACATCGGCGAATGGGACAGAAGTAGACTCAAAAGGGCTAGCAGTTCATCTGGAATTGATCTGTGCTTGAATACTCGTTCAGTTATTTCATGTCGATCGCTGGATGTTTGACCTGTCAGCAACAGATTCGTAAATTCGGGTCATTTCGGGTTGCAAGTGAACTTGATGAAGGACGCATAAAAACGTAATTGCGCAAGTTTTACGGGATTTTTTTGTGGTTGGGTAACAATCGATAGTGGACTTAAAATAATTTTGACAAGAAAAAAAATCAAAAAAAATTATAATCCAGTCTAGGTCTCGAGCCCATGGTCTCAAGAGTCTGGAGTGTCTGCCTATCATCCTGGGCCACGCTTTGAATTGAATTCGGCCGGCATACTGCAAGATTTGTGCAGTAGGAAAGAACCCAGTTGTCGGCTAAATATCTAGAAACGGTTCCTTGCCTGACAAACTTGTCCCAACAGCAACTATTTCCAAAAAAAAAAGCAAGTCGTTGCAGCCAGTGGTTAATTAAAAAAATGTCTACAAATATGTAAACAGATTGCCGGGTATAAAAGATGTGAAGCGTACGACGCGTCTCACAACGTTCCTTCTCGTTGAGTTTGTGTGTGTATGAGTTTTTGTCTACTGAAGATAGAAAATGATCTATTTTCCATTTTTTCCTGATAGTAGACCAAGAGCAGGGATTATTTATAATTGTTTTCATATAAGTATCAACAAATTTGTAAACCTTTTTTCAAATTGTTTAAAAAATTTATTTAATATTTTCCGGAATGAAATAAGTGAAATTATATTTGAATAAGAACGTTATTTTCTTAATTTGTATCCTTTTTGCACCCTGAAACAATTTTTCTGCCAAATTTGGCACCGGCCCATCCCGTCCCCACAAAGAGCGAAAAACTGTCACTGAAACTGTTTGAGATGCCAAGCTTTTTTGGCATCATATTTTTTCCAAAATCTAATAAAAACGAATTTGGGTTAAAAAGTTATAGTTCTTTATTTATACCGGAGGCTAGCTTAAGTCAATTGCTCGCTCTTTCGCCCGGTCAGAAAATCACAATTTTGTCACAAATATTACAAATCACAATATTACGAATGATACCTGGAAGACTTGACTTTAAAAGGGCACAAACGATGAGATGAAAAGTCTAATGTCATACGACCATAAGTATGTACAGATGTATTGATAAAAGAGAAAATCACATCGACATATCGTTAATTGGAAAGTTAAATTAAAGAAAGCTTGAAGAATAAACCGGGGGAAGTTTAGTATACCTTTTTATTTTGTACCAACTCGTTTCTTTGTTCACATGCATATGTACCTGATATGCTTATAAAATGTTGAATTTAAGCATGGTGTTAAAATATTATTTTTTGCTTGTAATTATTGTTGCATTTTGTTGTACCTCCATACTGAGTCAGAATGTTAGGGAAAATATCTTTGATGAAAACCCGAAGCAGCTCTCATTTAGAAAAGGAGATGACATAAGCACCCCAGGCTTTGTTAGACTTGTGTTGATGCGATTAATATATGGAATTGCGTCCAGTATGGGTATTGAAGATCGACTTGATGAAACATTTAACGGTGCTTTCGTGCCTCCTAACGCAGAAGATGCCTTTGGATTTGATGAATAAGATTATTGATCATTTTAGTTTTATAATAATCACCGCATATATTTATATTTTAGATGTATTTATATTAAGTTTTAAAGATGCACAATATACAATTTTGTTTCAATAGTAGACCACAAAAATAGATTATTATCCAGAAAGAAAATATAATCAAGAAAACGATCTAAGAAAAATTAAAGTGATTTTGACACTTTCATTTTCGAGTATAAAAACAACTTACCCTAGTTAATGTTCGAGTACTGGGTATAGATATTGGCGAGCGAAGACGCCTCGGGCTTGCTTGTACATGTGTATGTACTTATGTAATTGTATGTACTTACATATGTACCCTGTATTCGACAGCTGGAAGCAATGCTGGACCACTTATCCTTCGTATACCTTTATACGTATACGTACATTAATTTGTATAATTTACACGTATTCATTTGAATTATAATAAGCCCTCTAGATTTGAGAAGTCTTTAACCTATAAATAAAAATGAGTATGCCTCGCATCAACAAATACTTTGTTCAGTCTTAAAATACAACTCGGTGTGTGAGTATCGCGAATAAGGTAAAGGCTAGACAAACGGGTAGAGTTCATCTCAAAAAATATTATGTACGGAGCTCTATGGGACTAAGAATACAAAATGTTTGTGTTTATGAATCCAGCAATGACTTAAAATTATTGAAAATACAATATACATATTTACATATGTATAATAAAATACCTGTATATTAATACATGTACATATACCGTGAACTGAGGAATTTACGAAACAAAAAGGTGTAAATATGTATGTACATATAAAAATATGGACAAAATTATTTAGAATGCATACATATGTAAATATGTATAATGTGTGTAGGAAAGTAAGAATGACTAATGCCTGTATTTACACATAGTATTTACATCGGTACATATGTATATGTATTCATTTATAGGCTTAATATTAGCCAGGCACATGCTTTGGTCAACAATCCAACAATAATGTGACGTAATTGCTCAAGATAGCTGACGTTCAGCTACACATGATATAAACATTTATACACATGTATACAGAATTATTTATGTACAAATGTTTGTTTGTACATGTTAAGTGAATATTAGCCATGGTATATGTAATGGTAAGACTTGGCTGAATCGACAACACGTTTTTTTTAATTGAAATTCATTTTTTTTTTCAAATACTATGAGATGCTGAAAATATTAAGTATACGGCGAAGAGCTACCCCACAAAATTATTCCAAAGTCGATTATTATTATTCTGAAGAAGCCCTTTCACAAGACACCAGTAAAGCGATAAGAAAAACGATAAAACAAAGCGATAAACGACAACAAGGTGTCTTGTTTAACTAAATTTGGCAAATTTTGTGCTTGCACAGGAATATAGTTAAACCCTTCCACTAACCATAGTAGATGTGCCAGTTGATACTAGTGAAACGTCACCGTTGAATCTGTGGTATACGTACCCCAGGCTGCTGCTGCGAATGTAGTGTAAAACACTAGAAGAAATGCGATTGCATGCAATGTTATTTTTTAGTGCTTGAAGGCGGTCCGCCGAGAAAAGCAGTGTTGTCTGGAAGAGGAAACGATCTACTTTTCAAATGTACAATGAACAAATAGCTCCTTAAGTTCTGCCAGCTTTTTCCACGCTCTAATCAAATGTTTGGCATTATCTGAACGAAAGAAGAACGAGCTGACTGGAATGCTGCATTTAATAAATTTGTCTCTTATCATGATCATATTTATTTTCAGATTATTCCTATTAATGCTACAAACTGACTTGCGATGAATTGGAACCGACGAAATACAAGTGAAATATCAATATATAACTATCCCGAAAACTTAAATCCTTTTTATGAAAATGAAAATCACAAACGTCTTCGATTTTGGAATTTTAGCAAAGAGGGGAAAAATAAAGGAAGGAGCTTTTCAATTGGAAATTTGAGAAACATATGGTAAGATTATATTAAGGATTATTATTATATTATATTTTTTAATCTTGAATAAAATGTTTAAGCTTTTTTTGTCTATGCACGTTAAAATATCCACGAGTCCCCAATACCTTTGCATGTTACTCATGAACGTTTTGCAGTTTGCATCACAATTTTTTTAAGGGACAAAGATAATTTATTAGGACCGATCATCTCTCCTCCCTTCAAGGGAGGAAACCCATATGGCTAACAGACAGACATGTTCTTTTGGGGATAGATCTGGCATTTTGTCCACAGCTGCTTTACGCGTGACTTTAACTCATGTAAAATACATTCAAATGGCATTACAATGCTTATATAATATTTAATTTACTCACTCAAGTGCTCGTTCTTTATTTGTAGGTCTTCTTATTCGTTTTCCCCAAAAAAATCATCCACATTGGGCATAAATAAAACATCCGAAAGCCCACCGATGTTGCGGAGAAATGTTAATAATAACGATTTGGATGGTAGTGCTCGAAATTTAAAGGGCTTCTGCGACGAATTTGATAGAAGGTCTTTGCAGCATATCGATATACCAAGAAATGTAAACAATTTTTTTAGTTTGATTAAACTTATTTTTAACGTTTTTTTTTCATTTAGTCTGATTTGTTTTTTAATCGAAATGAAGATTACCGAAGAACGACTCAGTTTTCTGGACATTCGTTGCCGAAGAAGCTGACAAGGTAACAAGAGACATTTAAGATATGTACATTATATATAAAATATATGTAATATATATATTATATGTATATATCTAAATACATACATTATGTGAAGTCCCATTTTTAAAATCAACATCCCATTTGTAATTGCAATTTTTTTTTCCTGTTGCTAAAAGGCTGTCAGTGATGTTTACATATTTCCAACGGTATAAAAACTGCAATCTGCCGACCGAAATCATATAAAATTGTGGGGCCTATGGATATGGGTCGACACTTCAGACCCCCGGATTTCGTTTGTTCGAGCCCTAGGACTTTCACTTTTACTAAAGAAATCATTATTTTACGCCCACTAACGCTTTGCGCTATCCACCCACCAGAAGCCCATAAAATATGAAGATTAAAATTGACCCGCAAACTCATGTTAAGTAGCTTGGAAGCAACTGCAACCAAAGCACTTCTCTTTGTTTGTTGTTGTTTTCCAGCATATATGATGACAAACGGAGGTTTTTGTGTGTGTTTCTATCACAAAAATTAGCATCCGCCATGTCACGCCTCTTGACTCTGTCATTCTCTTTTAGTGGTTCCGATGATCAGACTCGATTTTTGGATAGGTGTTCTGTGAATATAAATAAATTTTAATAAATTGTGATATCTTTTCTTTTGCGTAATTTTTTTTGAAGAATTAAAAAAAACGCGACAGCGATTATCATAATATATAATCCCTAAACAGTACCATTAAGCAGTGTCATTGAAACTTTCTTTTCGGCTTGTGGACTTCTTGACTGTTTGTCGGTTGACTGTGTTTAAATGGTTGTTAAATTCTTTTTCAGATCATCGCAGTCTAGTTTAACAAGCTTGAATCCGTTTGAGGACGAAGTCAAAACAGATTTCAACATTCCAATAAGGAATAAAAGGTATCGGAAAAAAAGTAGAGCTCCACAGCCACCTTCACAATTGGTAAGAAATATTACATTCACTTTAATATACACATGTTAAGAAAATTTGTTTATTATTTTTTTTTTTTTAGCAAAATGATTGTAATTTGAAAAAAGAACTTGACGTTTCAATCAATAATGACGGAGCCCGTGATATTAAATCACTTGCTAATGAAATAGAACTGTTTGTTAATGAGAGATGCGAACCTCCGATTAATTATGATGCAGAAACGGAAGAAAAATATCTGATTAAAGGAAATACACAAAGTCAATCAGTATATCTCCCAGCATCGGAGAGCCTTGATAGGCTGAATCCCGTCACAGACACCACAACAGATAATCGAAATACCATAGACAATGTTGTAAGTGGGACACTTGAATTGTCAAATAATAACGATCGAGTGCCTGGGTTAGGTTGCGATACATTAATAGCCAATAACCAGCCCAAGACAATAAATTCACGTGGGACAGTGAATTGTACGGATAGTACTAAAGAAAATGCTTTAAATATAGAAGAACTGGATGTTCGGAAAACCAAACATGTAAAAACGATTATAAACAATGAAAAAAGATGTGAAGATAATCTTAATTCAAGTGAATGTGGGTCATCGAATTTTACGGAAAATGTTTTAACTACGAAGGATTTGGATGCTCGAAATACCAGACATTCATTAAGGACTAAAAACAATGAAAACAAATCTAAAGATAATTTGAATTCAAATGAACATGGAACATTGCATTATACTGAAAGTATTAAAGAAAATGCTTTAACTATCCAAGATTTGGATGTTCGAAGAACCAAAAAATCAAAAGATACTATAAACGATGAACTAAAATGTGAAGATAGTCTTAATATAAATGAGAATTGTACGGAATATATTAATGAAAATGCTTTAACCACAGAAGATTTGGATGTTAAAAGAATCAAACCTTCAATAAGTTCTATAAACATTAAACAAAAAGGTGAAGATAATCTTTATTCAAATGGGCTAGCACATAACCACCAAATAAAATACCAATATGGCAAATCGAACACATGGAAACAAAATCAAAACTCTAAGAATTCAGAAGAAACCTTTGACCTTCCAAAGCTTGAGTTGAATGAACCTGTATCATATTATAAAAAAGATTTTTATGATATTAGACAGACTTTTACCTTAACAAATAAGAACTCAAACCCATTGAGCCTGCGAAAATCACTTAATAAAACTATTGAATCTATAAATCGTAATCAACAGCTTTTAAATGAAAGTGCAGCCAAAGGTACAAAACCAAGGAAATCATCTTTATATCAATGTGATGAAAACAAACATTTTCCGGCAAATGAATTAAATAGTCAAAGAGAGACGGAACCTAAAAATGGGGCAATCTTCACTTCTAACACCGACGAAATATTATCTAAGCCTCAAAATGATAACTTTTATAAAACAAAAATATTCAAAACATTTGGACAGTACCGAGAGTCATCGCCAACTTCATCAAATTTAGATTGGAACCCTTTACCAAAACCAAAGCGGAGTAGTAATTAAGACGAGTTAATTGTTAAAAGTGTTGTACAATAAATTAATTAATCTATATATATTCATCAGTGCAATAAACAGATCGTCCTATGCATAATTAAACATATTATTACATATTATTATATTATTACAACATATTACAACTACAGGTACATGTTAACAAAAAGCTGACGCAAACTGCGTGGAGCTGAACCATTTACTCTTGAAGTACGGGGTATAAAAAATATATCAGACAATTTCTTAGCACCAAACCTTACAGAAAGAGTAGCTTTGGTTCCTTCGGGAATATCGTGTCGGGTATCATTCATATATAGAAGAATTAAGACATTTTCGGACGAACCAAATTGTAAATCATCACCGGGTTTCTCATGGTTGATGGTACCAGGGCAAGCCGGTGTTTCGCATATTTCGAAATCTCCCACTGTTCCGCTGGATGTTTTCAGTGTGCAGAAAGTGGGCAGATAGGAACTAAAATAATAAAAATAAAACTTATCGCATCTGAATTAGCTTACTGGGCCAAATTAAAGACAACAAAACAGCTCAGCAGCAATTCAACCATACGGCATGCCGTGCAGGTCATAATCGGCCTGTGGAAAACCATATGGCACGTTTTGCTAGCAACACCAACACATATAACAGTGTTACCGTGAATCAGCACAGCAGGAAAAATAAGTATTTTTCTTATAAAAATGCGTTCTTCGAAACATTTTGAAGACTCACTCTGCTTCTAGAAAAGAAACCGATTTTTTGGGCACTGTATTTTTGAAAGAGGTAAATAATATTTCGGTATATTTCTGATGGCCGGACAGTATATTTTATATATAAATACGCGGTAACACTGCACCGGTCCCAAGTTCCCCAAATAGAAAATATAACATTAATTTAATCAATTAGTTCAATTAATAAGAGAATAAGATGTTAAACGAACCAGATAGTTTTTCTGACATGTTCAGAAGCGGCATACCGTATATTCTTCTAATAGCTCTACCGGCGCTCATATGTTGTTCACCTGTAATGGCAAGCGAATTCGAAGTTATGTCCATGTCCAAATTCGACGTCAATGGGCAACATTTTGGTTAGTACAATTTATATTTATTTGCTATTTTATTTGCATTTGCAGTTTAATCTAAGATCGTTTATGTCGTAATTCGGTAATTTATTACGAACTGTTTATCATTACCACGTGGCCGATATTTATTGTTTACTTTAATTGATGTATGTACATACATAAATGGATTTTCATATCTAAATACAGTTGGCACACATATTATTTGCACACCCGCATAATCCCGGTTTGAACACCTATAACTTGGTGGTATATTATATTATTATATATTATCTAACAACATATTTGTGGAGGCTTTTTTTAAAATCAACATCCGACAGCTTATACCTTAATAAATATGCAACTTTGTTTTAAATAAATATATATTCATTTATATTTTTTAGGTAGCCGGGTATCTTCAATTTCCTTAGAAGCGAGATCATTGTATTCCTGGAATACTTCAAGACATTGTGTTCTTACACGGTAAGTCCACGGCACACACAGTGCGTACATATTAAAAGATAAGGTGTTTGGTCTTAAAATTAATTACAACGCCAGAAGGGTTCAGGTATAAAAGTTTTAACGCGTTCCAGCGCGGCTCACAACGTTCCTCCTTCTTTTCTTTGGTAGGCCGACTATTTTTCGGCCCGCCCTCGTACTAATAAATTATTTTGATTTAAATAATAATAACTATTTTTATAATAATACTTATTTTTATTCATTTTATATTATAGATTAATTAATTTGTCGGTTAATGATTTTGACAAAATACGCCAAGGTGCAGGAGGCCTTATTGTTATGTTGCCGCGCAATATTTTGGAATTGGACGTTGAGGTCAAAGAGCACATAACCATTTTAGAGCAAGAAATGCTCGCACATACTGGGACTGTGCCAATTTATTTCGCCCCATTTAATATAAATTTGGAAACAATAATTGACGACATCACTCATACAACTTTCAAAGCTTTTAGCCAAAATCAAACATCGGTTGCACAATTGATTACGTCAGTTTCAGCCAATGGATATCATGCAACCGTGGGTGGTTCTAGCAACGTAGCAAACAAAAACAGCAAAATACCAATCATCTACGGCGAGTTGGCACCGAATCAATTACTTTTAAAGCCCAATGAGAACCCGGTCGATGGACAAAAATTACCAGTTATATTAATAACGGCCACTCTCAAAACATTTGGTGTATTTAATGTAAGTATTATGGTTTTTTTATCTAATTAAAAACATTAGCCGGGGGCCTAATAACCTATGTAAATTATTTGTGTATTTGATTCTTTTATTTTCAGGAGTATCCGGTTAATTCAGATGTAACAGTCTTACTGGCGCTTGTAGAAATGTTAAGTAAGCTGCATTCTACAACAAAAATGGCACCAAACTACCGTCTGCTTTTCTTGATTTCGGATACCGGACTCCTCCTAAATTTCCAAGGATCAAAGAAATGGCTTGAAATAGACGATAATTCCGCTCTGCAGGTAATATATTATGAAACTTTATTGAATATACATACACATATGAACGCGAGAGATAAACTAGGGAGAGACAGAGAGAAACATTTAAAGAGAGAGAGAGAGAGAGAAGAAAAGACATAAGGATGCAGAAAAATTATGTTATGATTAGTGCAATGATCTATAGTGAGCTAAACTATGATAAAAATATATATATTTTTTTAATGCGACACCTCTTACTTGCATAGTTCTATACTTTTAAAAGCCAGGTATCCAGAACCGCGGAAACTACAAATTTCTGGAAAAAAAACGGTTCCAGAAACATTTAGATGTATCAGGACAGCTGGAAACTAAAAATTCCGGGCAAACTTCAAATAAAACGATTGCTCTAGCTGTCCAAAATAAATTATTACTCTCTAAAAACATAAAATAGAACATTATTTCCCATTGTAACATTTTTAAATTGTTTATTTTTATACAGAATGTCGAATTTGTGCTGTGCTTGGATACCATCATAGAAAGTATATCGTCCAATCCAGATATGGCTATTTATATGCATGTTTCTAAACCACCCAAGGAAAAAACGTCAATAAGCCACTTTTTCAAGTTACTTAAATCATCGGCAGAGAAATTTGCATATAACATAACAGTGGAAGGTGTCCACAAGAAGATCAATTTAGCCGATACAAAGCTTGCGTGGGAGCACGAGCGATTCAGCATAAAACGTTATCCTTCTTTCACTTTATCTTCACTGAAAAGTCATAGAAGCCCATCCCGAACAACAATATTCAAGGACGATGAAACACGTATCTTAGAACACACACTTAAAGCTTCAAGAATAATTGCAGAAGCTCTGGCTAGTTTCCTTTACAAAATGGAACCAACGTCCAGTATTTTTGATGGTCAATTTGTAAGATTTTCCCACTTTCGAACAAGTCTATAGTATTTCATAAATATTTATCTTTTTGTGTTTTAATTTTCAGGCCATAAAAGAAGAAAATATTTTGCCATATTTTGGAATCAAATCAGTGTTGCATAACAATGATGTTAAAGATGCTTTTGAAAAGTATCTGAACAATGTTAAAATCATATATGATAAAGCTGATAGTCGAGATCCTGATTTTATGTTCTACAACGAAAATGATGTGAAACTGAATGTTTACAGGGTTAAACCAGCGATTTTTGATATTTTCCTAACTATTTTAATAGGGTTTTATTTATTAATTGTATTCCTTGGTATACAATACTTTCCGCTCTTCTACAATATAGTTTCGAAACTTACAAGAGATGAAACTTCACAACAAACTAATGGACACTACACTGAACGACTAAAGTATAAATGAAACTTGTTTAAAATTACGTCAATATCAAATTGTGCTAAATCAATATACAATTAATAGGAGAAATTTAAATAAAGTTTAAAGTATAAATCTTGTTGCATTACTGAGTTCTTCATTCGAGTTTTAAGACTACATCCATTGGCGCTGGCGTTGGGCTCGCCACCAATGTCATCTGAACCTCTTGGTATTCTTGGCTACGCTACCGCAGGCAAACTCCACACAATACTCCTAGACTTCGAATGAAATTATAGAAGCAATACAAGACAATCTTTAGCATTTGCATGAAAAAGCCTGTCGCGAAAAAATCCATTACTGGGGTCTGGGACATGATTGAAAAGTCGATAAGTGTTAGAGATCAGCATGGCTCCATTCAAAACAAAGGTCCAATAGAATGCCTCTTAAATCGGCAAACAACTTAAGAACTTAACAGAGCGGAGAGCAGACTCTGTTGTCAAAGCTCGCCAGCGCTATTCTGCGTTTAGACTGAGCCCGCCAAAAAGTCAGTAATCTTCTACCTTTTGCACTAGCAGCATTTAAGTTGATCCCGGTATCTAACATCTTTTCGCCAAGTTCAACAGTTCAACCCAAAATCGTGAGTTAATTTTCTACATGCCGCCCGAGCAGGGACTTTGAAAAATTATCATTGAAGTTATAGCCATAAGATCGCTTGATTGCTTGCGATAACCCCAGCTTCGAAAACTGACCCCCAGAACATAGAAGTGCGTGAAAGCAACAAAAAGTAACTAAAATTATTGAAGTGAAAGTGCATTAAAAACGATAAACTACTTTTTTTGCCACCCTCGCGAAAATAGTATACGCAATTAAAACTAATGCAGTGCCGATCAGCAGCAACACTTGACATTGCAGCTGTCCTTAACTAAATTTAAGTTATTATTTGGTCCATGTTTCCGCTTCCTCCATGAGCAGAAATAGGCTTCCATGTTGAACGTGGGAACGTGGAAAATAAATGTTCACGTTAGTTGTTTTAAGATCTGGTCACACCGATCAAAAATATATCGGGAACTTAAAAAAAAAACATACATTCATAGGTCTAATGCAAGTTTTCCGTTTGATACAATTTTATCAATGCATAATTTAACGGTGGTGTAAAAAAGAGCAGTGCCGGTATAAATTTATTACATCATACCAATAAATCGATTTATAATTTCCGTATGATTAAAATATCCCTTAAAAGTCGAATATTAATGACTTTAAATGTGTGA